CCAGCGGTCGGCAGATGAACGCTCATGCACCAACTGGATGACTGACCCACATGTGTTCCTGGGCAGCAAGCGGCTAAGCGCTTGGTGAAAGTCAGGAGTTTGGTTGACGCTGAGTCAAGAGACCTTCAGACTGAAACAGAATTGCTGAACCCCCCGCAATAAATCCACAAAAAAGCCAGTAAGAAGAGCCAAATGGTCATCCCCAAAATGGTGCTTTTGTCCGTTTTTCGAGGCTCAAACATCTGTCATTCAGCTGGTTTGACCATGTTTTTCCTCTTTCTGTTGGTTGTGTATCCCATTCTATCACCATTGTATAACTATTATATCTCCATTTCATCCATATAATATCCCATGGTGGTTGGATTTATACCGCCAAAATGGGAATAATACACCCATTCTACCGGGTGGTATATGTATATGATATGAAAACACACGCATATATATATAGATATGCATATATATATAGATATGTATATATATATATATATGATATAATATACATATATATATATACATAAAATACATATATATATATAAATACACATATATATAATATACATTAATATCTATAGATAATATATATATATATACATATACATATACATATAAATATACATATACATACACACATACACACATACACACATACACACATACACACATACCCACATACACACATACACACATACACACATACACACATACACACATACACACATACACACATACACACATACACACATACACACATACACACATACATACATACATAGATACATACATACATACATACATACATGCATACATGCATGCATCCATGCATCCATGCATCCATGCATCCATGCATCCATGCATCCATGCATCCATGCATCCATGCATACATATTATATTTGTGTGATATCCCGGTCTATTCCATTATATAATACTATTGACCCATAAATCCATACCACACGGTTTCCCTTTCATCGGTGCTGCTTAGGTGGTATCGACATCCATTGCTTCGGATCTTGATACCATTCATCATCACCGGCCTGGACTGGATGCGGGCGCTGTGTTTGATAGCTTCTGTTATGTATATATGCACACATGGGCATAGACGGCATAGATATGGAATTCACCATTAGAGATACAATGTTACTATGTATATATATATATATGTATGGATGATTGAAGGATGATTGGTTGAGGCATGTATTTATCATTCTATCATATTATCATATTATATATATAGTGAATAATTTGAATCCACTATTTTTAGACCAGGGTGTGCTTGCAGATGTCTAACGTGTTTTTTTTTGTTTCCCAATCAGAAATCCATGGTTTGCGAATCCAAGATTATCAGAGCGCACTTTTTTGGTATGATTGACGGTCAAAGGTTTTTTTTTTTTCCCTCTGAGAAATTTCAACCATACCCATAGCCAGTCAGTTTTTTTCTGCCAATCTTCCCCAAATGTGGGTGAAACTCCAAGCAATATTCCACATAACTCTCTCGTGCTCCAAGGGAACTTTTGATTTCCAATGGTTTAGATGAAAACTTTCTGGGAGAGCAATGAGGCTTTAGGCGACAAGATAGAGGATCAGGGTTTGTTGATCCGTCATTCTGCTGACTTCTTCCTGCGGAAATATATCCACCAGTTGGGGAATCCTGCAGCAAGATCCTTCCTTTGGAAGTGGTGAAACTTGACAATTCATGTAGAGCTACCCAGTATGTCTCAAGAGTGTTCCCCTTCGTAATTACTGTGCACGAGTCAGATATGATAGCAGATCTGGGTGCCACTTTTGACATATTTTGACCTCTGATCATTTGCCATGCATTGAAGATGAAGTAGCCTCGGCTAATCTACTACTCTCTGGTAAACAAACATAGCTATTGAAAATGGCCGAGTCGAAATAGTTGATTTACCCAGCTACATAGCATGGTGGATCTTTCCATCTAAATCACCATTTTCCCATGGTTTTCCCATCAGTTTTTTGTATTACCAGAAGGTAGCATCCGTGGAAGTTCCTCAATTGGAGGGATCCGTGGAATAATAACCTGAAATGGATCATCCGTGCGCCGCAGGACTTGTATATGCAGCGCCCTAAGCGATCCGGGACGGGGCAGATGGGCGGGTATGGGCGATCCATGAAGATGGACCTGTCGACCATTTGGCCCATAGATGGTGGTTAATTTCGGGAGATCAGCAATTTCGTGGTCTAAAAATTGTAGACCAGCTTTGGGATATCTAAAAATTTGGGAGATCTTTTGCATATGGTGTTCCAAACATGAGCGTGAGCACGTGAACGTTTCGGAAAGTTCACCTCTCCATCTCTTTTTGTTTGTCGCAGTGGTGCGAAAGTTCTGTGGGACCAAGCCCAAAGGCCCAAATTTCCCGCGATTTCCGTAATTTCGTTATTCCAAAGGCCAACGTTCCGACCAGTGAAACACAAAACCATGGATTGGTTGATGAAGTCAATCTTACTGGTGCTTAGTAGGGAATGAGGGAATGATCCAGAATCACTAGTAATAATCATCCCATTCCCCCATTCCCATCCATTCCCTACTAAGCACCAGTAAGCAATGAAGTGAGAATAATCACCATCAACCCGCAGACCAGAAACAAATATGTGCCATGGTCAAAGAAGCAGTGGGGGGCGGTCATAATGCAGTGGGGAATTATGATATTTATAGGAATGGCCAATAGAAAGAATTTACCCTCTTCCTGGCCAATGTTAAGGATTGACCATGGCACACCAGACACAAAAACCAGCTATGACTTAGGGTACCTAGGGTAACCACTAGGGTACCACTAGGGTACAGCTAGGGTACCACTAGGGTACCACTACATTACCAGGGTTTTTGTCCCAAAATATCCCATGTCCCCGGTGAAGCAACTGGTACCCTCTTGTAATGACTAACATAGCTATAGAACATCACCATGCTATTAATGGGTAAATCCACGAACTAAATATCTATTTCTATGGTCATTTTCCATAGCTATTTTGACATAACCAGAGGGTACCTACCGAGGTATCTGGAAGATCCTCTGAACGATGCACACGTCCCTTACAACGTGCCATTTCAGGGCCACGCACTGGGACTAATGGCGGTCACCTGGTGATCCAAGGGCAGGGAGGGCTGGACAGGACATGGACAGTGATCGACATGGGCCAATTTAACGGAAAGACATGGGAAGATATGGGAACATATGGAAGATGATCATGGCTAAACTTGGGATACAACTTGATATAACCCCCCTAACTATGGTTACATAATGTTACATAGCCATTTGGAGGCTTCTGTGGAAAGTCATGGTATCCCAAATCATCTAAGTCACTCACTGGAGCATGACGCCACGTATTTTTCATGCTGTATGGTGACTTGGGAATCCCCCATTCGAAGAAGCTGAACCAGAACCATATGGATTTATTGCCAACTTACATTCAATTTTAATGGGAAGATATGGGAAGATGATCATAAACTTTATGGGATGGAATGAGAGTATCCTCTTGTCAGACAAACTTATATTTGGTTGATGGTATAGCCAACTTATGATATATCCGAATTTAACGTTTGTGAATAGTAATCGAGGGATAGGAATTGAAGCAACCACACGGCGTATTTATGAGGATATTGGATCTATCCTGGTTGGTGGTTTGGAACAGCCGTGATGCCCAAGCTTTCCAGTTGTAGTTCGGCCGTTCTTCACTAAACGTGGGCAGGTAGGTACACCTTGTTTCTTGCCATGACAAGTGGCTTTTCCATGGATTTCTCTTCGGTTGCAAATGGTGAGATGATGGACCTTGTGGCTACTGTCAAAGTATTTGATACTGAACACACTGCCCACTTGATGGTCACCAGAGGGGGTTTGCATTTCCTGTATGATGGTTGTCTCAATGAAGGGTTCACCGCATACACCATGTTCCAGGTTTGCTTGCATGCACAGTTTCCAATGCCGAAGGTGAGCGCAACCAAGGATACAGTGATCCTTGGTCATCAGCACCCGTCTTGGAGCTCGTTTCACTCAGTCATTGATCTTTGCTCTGGTTTCGGTGGCCTTGCACAAGGTGCTGTCGCATCAGGGTTTGAAGTCGTGGTAGCAGTTGATCAGAATCAGAAAATGCTCGACCTGCATTCCAAAGCCAATGGAGCTCATTGCATTTGCGGAGATTTTGGAAGTAGGGATGTGATTCATCAGGTGTGGCAGCACTCCCGGGGTGCGTCCATTGTTTCATCCGGATTCAGCTGCCAGCCCTATTCTCGTTTAGGTGATTGTAAAGGACAATTGGACTCCCGTTCCAGCTGTCTCACAAAAACCTTAGATGCTGCTTATTTTCTGAATGCCTCCGTGATCATTCTGGAATGCGTTGCCCCGGCAGCTCATGATGCTTTTGTACAGGCTGAATTGCTGCGGTTTTGTACCAGCACAGGATACCGGATGTCTCACACAGACCTCAAGCTGGATCAGATTTGGCCATGTCGGAGGCACCGTGCATGGTGGATCTTGTATGCGCCAGAGCTAGGTACCATTGATTTGGCTACTTGGGCCCCTTTGGACAACTTATGGGAAGTTCAACAAATCATTCCTGAAATTTCTTTGTGGGCTGAGAATGATGAAAATCTTCTTGCTTTGGATGAGGTAGAGTTGGAGGCTTTTGGGGTCACCACTGACAATCATGCCAAATATCTGTTGAATGGAAAGTCCACGGCACCGTGTGCTCTCCATGCGTGGGGATCTCAGACACGTGCTTGCCCATGCGGATGTCGGCAACAAGGTTTTTCCTGCCATAGGTTAGAATCCAAGGGTCTTCATGGGTGCATTGTCCGAAGTGCGGTTTCACCTGATGGGACAACGCGCATTCGTCATTTGCATCCAAACGAGGTGATGGGATTGAACACAATGGACCCAGTTGTTGATTTTGGTGAAGATGTTCGTCTCACTCTTTCCGCAGTAGGTCAGTTGGCGTGTCCAGTCCAGGCTCTGTGGATTTTTGGTCATGTTGAAGAAAAGTTGGCCCTCATGCGCCAGATGCCTTCATTTGATGCCAATGCCCAGATCCAAGCTTTTAGATCTTGGATTTTGATGCGCTGTCGACAAGTTTGGCCGTGCAAGACAGAAACGATCCAAGACACCAAATTGTTGGCCATGATGCAATTTTGGAATGAATTTCGTGATGTTTCTCTCCCTGAATTGCTTTTTCCGCTGCGATGGAATGATAGCATTGATGGACATGTCAGCATTGCCTCTGTCTTGGATCATCTGATCCGGTCCAAAGAAAGGGTCCCACCCACTGTTTGTGATCCAGAGACGGCCGTTGATGTTGATGCCACTCCATGGATGGATTTCCCGGAACTGGTTGATGATCCCACCACGGCTGGTTGTATGATGGTTGATTCATGCACGGTAGTATTTGAGGGTTCAGGGGATTCTCCGATCCGTTTCCAACCCAAATGTAATGCCACATTGAAGCAGTTCATTGATGCCCAGGCGAAACTGGTAGGTGATGTCCAAGTTATCAGTGCCACTATGAACGGCACGCCAGTGGGCTTGGATCATGTCATGGAAGTGGCTCAAGTGATTGTGGTCACTACATGTCCTTTGTCGCCAGTCCAGGAGTCATGCCAGGTGGAACGGTCTGTTTCCCCTACTGCTGAGTGGACACAGCCAATTCAAGACCCGATTGAGGTTGATTCACCTCCCCGCAAAGTCTCCAAGTTCGATGTTGGAGAGTGTACCATCCCGAAAACCAGTGTACAAGACCAACCGTGGTTGGATGCCTCTCCTTTCCTGAACTTGCAAGGTGAACAGTTCTTGAAATTGTCTCTTCCGAGTCTCACCAATGTGCAGCAACTGTGGTCAGTTCGACATCAGTTTTTTCGCACTGAAGACAGGATGAAGATTTTTGATGCTCAAGGCCCACTCATGGCAGATGATGAAATTCGCTTTCACCTGCATGCATTGACGTTGGTACATAGAGATCATCAATTAAAATTTTCAAGCACCATGACGCAGGTTCGTGTCATTGATCCACTACTTGCCTCTGCGTGGGTCCATGGGAAAGGTTTTGACTGTGCTTTGTGGGCCAAGGATCACCCTGAGATTCGCCAACAGAGCATGTTGGTCATCACGGCTGTCCTTGTCAACCAGCATTGGATACCAGTATTCATGTCACCGGTCAAAGATGTTCTTCAAGTTTTTACTTGGGATGGACAGGATGCATGTCATGACACCCTGAATCGAGTAATTCAACGGGTTGCTGTTGGTTTGGGTTTTGCTGAAGCCTTAATCAATCGAGAACACCGTTTGTTTTTCTCATCTGACCAGTGTGGAGCTTTGGCGATTGCGTTCATCCGATATGCATTGGTTGGGACCAGTTTGCCTGCTGACAGGAATGAAGCTGAGGCTGTTCACACCATGCTGCGTGCTTTGCATATTCAGACCCTGTTGCAATGTCAGATTACTGATCGGCCTTGGGTTTGGGGTGCTGGAGATGCTGATCCCACCGCAAGACCAGACCCAGCCCAACCTGCGCTCCTTAACATCACTAGGGATGACAGGATCGATCTGATCAATGCTAAGGGTTTTGCTATGGCAGATGATGAAATCAGGTTCCACATTGTCAATCTCATTACCAATCAAGAGATACGCAACCCCTTGATGGGGCGCACGTTTGTGTTCTTTGAACCTCTGGTCTATAGTTGCTGGTCGTCCATTGGGAAAACCATCACTGAACAATGGTGTGCTAGGCACATGGAAGTGCGAACCCAAGGTTTGAATATTGTCACGGCTTTTTCGGTTGAGGACCACTGGATCCCACTTTGGTTTTCACCCAGAGGGAATTGCTTGCAGATTCACACCTTTCAACAAGAGGCGATTGATTTCCGTCAAGTGGAGGAAATTTTGGAGTTTGTCTCTGACTATTTGGATTTTCTCACTTTCGCTGTTCACAAAATCCCAGTGCGACTCCCTGCGCATGTCATGTGTGGTGCGCATTCGTTGGCGTTTATTGCCCATGTCATCATGAACATGCCATTGCCAGATTCACTGGAGGAATTGCGAACACCTCACACCAACATGAGGGCATCGTTTGTAGCACATCTGTATTCGGTTGAGGTTACACCACAGCCAGTTGTTTGGGGCAATGGTCCTAAAAGGATGTCTGAACCGCACTCAATGCTGCCTGCCGACCTTGCGGAAATCTCCACCACATTGATCCAGGAAGTTGCTTCTATGGAGTCTGGCATAGGAGAACACCAGAGAGTCACGCCTTGCTCTGGGAATCATTCAGGGGAATCCGGGCTACTCCCTAGAATGCCCGCGACTGCTGCATCACAGCCAAGCATGCCTACAAGCCGGGGTGCCGTAGTGCCTAGACGAGATGTTGCAAGTAGCTCATCGTCCATGCCGATTGACCAGTCTGTGTTGGATGCCAGGTTGCTTCAGGTCACGTCACATAGTTTTGCCATGTCAGATGATGAGATCTTGTTTCAGTTGCGGCACATTGTGTCATGCCAAGCCCAGCCTGTTGATCGAGTGTTCTTGATCCTCCCGCCTTTGTTTGTCACTAGGTGGTTTGAAGGTGATGATGCAGAGCTTCGCACATGGATTGAACAACACCGTGATGTGATTGGCCAGCCTGGTCATCATATTCTTTGTCCGTTGCTCCTTGCTCAGCATTGGATACCAGTTTGGCTAGCACCCTCTACTGGAGGGATGATGGCTCATACCTTTGCCGATTTTGCCTCGGATGACACTGAAGTCGAGCGCATCCTACACCTGTTGGTTCACAAGTGTGGTTCAGCTTTGTTAGCAGTGCATCGAGTCCCTCATGGCCTTGTGGTCGATCGGTTGTGTGGTGTAATGACTGTGAGCTTCATTGCACACATTGTCCTTGGCACCAGGGTGCCGCGTTCCTTTGAGGAATTGACCTCGCGCTGTTGGTCCATGAAAGAGGTTTTTGTTGAGGAACTGCGGAAGGGTTGCCTGACTTTTCCGGTCCTGTGGGGCTGGGGACTCCAAGGGGAATCCAGGCTACTCCCTATAATGCCTGTGTGGGAATCTCCATTGACTAGTTTTGCCGAAGCTTGTGGAGTTTTGCCTGCCATGTTGCCAGCCGTTTGTAACTCCCTTGTTGGTGGTGACACTGAGGACCCGATCACTTTGGGCATGACAATGCATGAAATGTCTCACCATATGAATCTTGTGCGTGACTTTTGCCAGGTGCCCATTGCATGTGAAGTGGTTGCACATCTAGCATGTCTTGCCGACAAGGTCTCCAGATTTCTTGAGGGTGATCAGATTGGTTTTGCTTGCTCAATCTTGCAGAATATGCATTGGTCTCCCCTCCTCATTTGGAAGTCAGATTTGCGCATTGTGATTGCTGGTGAAGATGGGCCTCACCTTTCGCTTTTGGCCGACTTGTGCCCTGACGGGATTATCTTTGCCTTGCCTGTCTGTCCTTTACCGTCTTGTGGTACGGTTGCCCTGATGATTCTTGCACAAGGTGTCCTGGGTTTCAGGTGTCCACATGACATTCTTGCAGTTCGAGGTTGGTTGAATTCACTTTGTCCTCACATTGCCCTGGATGGTGACCTGGTAGGCTTTGGTCCCTCGAGCCTCCTTTTGCAGAACCTTTGCAAAGAGCTTTTGAAACATGGGATTCCAGAGCATGCCGTTGAGGATAGAGCCAAGTCCGCCATCAAGGTATTAGGTAGTGAGCAGATCATGACAGCATTGGGACATAGACAACCGTGGCGTCAACTCAAGGCCCTGGGGAATCACTCAAAGTTCCAGTCTGTCTTACCTACGGAATTGGCTGATGCGGTAGAATCCAACAAAGGCAAGACAGTCGCTCCTAAGGGGAAGGGAAAAGGTAAGATCAAACCACCCCCCGCCCTTGACCTTGATCCAGGCAAGTTGCAAGTGCTTGAAGGCACATTTCGCACACATGATCGGATTTTGCCTCAGTTGTCCATGAAGCAGATCGGCCCCATTAGTTCTGGGTTCATCTTGATGTCTTTGCAGGATGCTGAGCCGTATCTCAAGTCAGGCCGGGTTGTTTCACAAGAGCCTCTTGCTTTGGTGGTTCTGCATGCCGCTGGGTCTCACATTCAGACCGCACTGCCCCATGCCACCATTACAGTTCCGTGTCGTTGTACGGTCAACAGTGAGCCAGTTCTTGCTGAAGCTGTGATTGTTCAAGTTGGTAGTGGATTGGTTGAGAAAGCGGCTGGAGGTGAAATCCTCGATGTTGATACTCCTGAAGTTGTCACCTTGAAGCTGCTGGTCTACAAAGATGAGTTACAGCTTGATTGGGAAGAATTTTGCCGCTCACCCATCAAATGCCTTGTTTCACTCTTGCCAATGCTGAAACGGTGTGAGATGCAGGACTGTGGATGCTCTTGTTGGCATAATGTGGAACAATTGCCGATTCGCGACCCCATCCTTGATGTCTGGAGAAGGCAGTTCTTGCGCCAAGGGTTCAAGCCGTGTCCACCAGCTCAAGCGGAATTCTTTTCAGTTTGTATGAGGATCCCCCAATGTCTTTTGGAAACTTTGCTGGCTGCAAGCGGTACTTCTGGCGCATACTGTGAGCCGCGCACTGCAGATGGGAAGGAGATCTTGGCTGCATACACGGTGGTCTGGACACCCAAACACACATTGCAGGAAATGCAACATTTGCGTCAAACCAACCCTGCGGTGACTGGCCTTGCTCGTCTAGGGGATCGCCGAGGCCTGAGAGTCCGAACCGAGCAAGCCAAGACCATTCATCAGCTGGTCCGTCCGGACTCGGTGTACCTTCCCAATGGTCCAAAATGTCAGTACTCTGTGGGTCCATTTCCGTATGGAGCGGATCGGCAAGCTGTGTGTCGTATGCTGCAAAAAGCAGGCTGGGAGTGTAGAGCCCTTCAACCCTCTACGCCTTGTCCGGGCCGTGGAGTCCTTTGGTTAGTGCAGTCGACGGAAGAACCGGCCCAAACAATCATCCCCACTTCTTTGGGGGAGATTATGATCACCAAGGTGAAGCAGGAGATGGTCAATCAAGCGGTTCCCGCCATGTCTGTCGGATCTGCTGCGACTTTGGCCTTGTGTGGCAACCAGGGCAGTGCCCCTTCTGCAGACTGTGACCCTTGGGCCGCATCCGACCCATGGCAAACATACAAACCGCTGCATGCGGTACCTGCAGGACCACAAGAGGGGATTCAGCAACTGGAAGATCGTATCCAGACCGCAGTCCTGGCAAAAATCCAACAGCCAATGGACCAGGACGATTTACCAGACAGAGTGCATACATTGGAAGGCCAAGTTCAACAATTGCTGCACAAGCAGCAAGGGTTGGAAGTCCAGTTTCACGATCACAGTAGCCAACATACACAGCAAATCAATGCTCTGCAAAACCAGGTGACGGCACAGGCACAACAGTTGCACGGACACTTGGAAAATCAGAACCAGACGATGCAGTCGTTGTTTGAGCAGCAGATGCAGCAGATTCGCGGACTTTTGGCCAAGCGGCCGCGTGAAGATGCCATGGAATGACAAAGAGGCCGGGAGCTTGTGGTCCTGTTGTTGTGCTGCGTTTTGGGGTTACTATGGCAGCTTCCACAAGCTCTGGGCCTGCTAGCTTGGGTTTTTGCACTGGGGAGTGTGGCCGTGTGCTGTAACCACTCTTCTGGTCTGTCACGATGGAGTTTTTGGCCAGTGTGGCTTTTCACTATGGTTTGTCGTGTCGGTGAAGCTGCGCACCCTGGTCCTGCTCAATCCAATTTTGTTTTGGGGATCTTCAACCCCTCGGGGCTGACAGGCAAAGCGCCTTATATTGTTTCACAATTATCACACGGTGATATTTGGGCTGTGTCTGAGACCCATCTCAGTCACCAATCCTTTTCCCAATTTCGCTCCAGTTTGCATTTTGCACAGAGCCCGTTCCGATATTGCATTGGTGGCAATCCTGTTCCGGCCCAGTCCAACCGGGTCCTACATGCTGCATGGCGAGGAGTTGCGGTCTTGTCCAAACATCCAACCCGTATGTTGCCTACTGATGTGCCGTTGGACTTGCTGCAATCGTCAAGGGTTGTCCTTACCACTACTTTGGTGCAAGACATGTGGGTCACAGGTGGTACGGTCTATGGTGAGCCCGACAGTTGTGCGTACCCCAATCACAAGTTGCACAATGAAGCCCTTTTACATCATGTTGCCAATCATGTTTGCCATTTGGCTAAGGGTCCGCGTTATGTGGCAGGGGATTGGAACGTGGACTATGGATCGCTCCCGGTTTTTGCTCAGTTGGAAGCAGCAGGATTCCGTGATTTGCAAGACATTGCTAGTTCGCATTGGGGATATCACATCCAAAAACACGTGTAAACAGGCTACGAGAAAAGACTTCTGCTTTGTTTCACCTGAATTGCAACAACAGTTGATTGCTGTCACGGTTGATCCAGATGTTTTCCCAGACCATGCTGTTATTTGGGGTGAATTTCGCCCCTTTGCAAGCGTTGTGCCCCGGCAAGTGTGGAAGGTCCCACAGGCCTTTCCTTGGCCAGATGCTTGGGATGTGGACCCTGCATTTTGGCAGCAGTCACAGGGTACATGTGCTGAACGATATACCGCACTGTGGCAACATATCGAGCACCGTGCTTGCGAGAAATTGCCGTATCCAGTTTCCAGCCATGCTAAGGGTAGAGCTGACACGCATGAGACTACTTACTCCACTGATGGTAAGGTTTCACCCCCCAAACTGGCTAGGAAAGGAGACGTTCAACCGCATTTTCTAGGTGCCACTTTTCGCCATGCCCAGTGGTTGCGCCAGACCCGGAGATTGCAGTCGTATGTACGTTTTATCCAAAATAACAGTGCTGACTCTCTGCATGCCAAGCGTGTCTGGGGTTCCATTGTGCGTGCCAAAGGATTTCACCCGTCCTTTCCTGCATGGTGGCAGCAATGTATTCATAGGACGCTTGCTGCACCAGGGACACTTCCTGTCTTCCCTCCCGAGCATTTAGTTGCGATTGAAATCTTTGAGTCTATGCAATGTGAGTTACGCAAGTTTGAAAGCGAGCTTAAGTCCTCTTCTAGGATGTATGCTAGGCTCAAGAGGGACCGTAACCCTAATGCCATCTTTCAGGACCTTAAGGAGTTTCAGCCGCATGGAGTTGACCTTTTGCTCCACCAAGCCCCTTATAAGATCCTTGAAGTACGTCATGATGACTGCTCTATTGTCCTTGACCGCCCTGCTGATTTTGTGTCTGACCAACCCATAGTTAGCCAGGGACGCCCGTTTTCGGTCATCCATGCTGAGCACGATGGTCTTTGGGTTGATGATGTCTCCACCGTCAAGCCGGGGGACTTGGTTACCCAATTGGCATCCAAAGGTACGCATGAGGAGTTGTCTCAGATGTTTTTGAATACCTGGAAAAGCATGTGGGAACGCCACACCAATGTTCCGGTTGAGCGGTGGACAATTATTTTGGATTTTGCCAGACAGCATCTGCCCCGTCGTCAGTTTCAACTGCCTGTTATTGATGTCTCCTCTTTGACTGAGTGCCTTGCACACAAAAAGGCTACTACAACGGGTGGTCTTGATGGGGTTTCACTCTCTGACCTGAAAGCCATGCCGCCAGATGCATTGGGGAACTTCGTTGACATGTTTCACCATGCGGAAGCCACGGGTCACTGGCCGCCCCAGGTTGTTGCAGGAAGAGTTTCGTGTTTGGCTAAGACGACGCATCCTTCACGAGTGTTGGACTTTCGCCCTATTACTGTCTTGGGTTTGCTGTACAGGTGCTGGGGCACATTCCATGCTAGGCACATCATCAGGGCTCTTGATGAGATTTTGCCCACTGGATTGTACGGCAGTCGGCCCCATCGGTATGCTGGTCAGGTTTGGTCTCACTTGCTTTGGAGTATTGAACAGGCTTATGAATGCTCTATTCCATTGTGTGGCATTATTGTTGATATTCAGAAAGCCTTCAACTTTTTGCCCCGTTTGGTTGTCATGGAGAGTTGTGCCCTAGTAGGTATTCCGTTTAGGGTGCTGAGGGGTTGGTCAGGAGCACTTTCGAGCATGGCACGCCGGTTCATGCTTAATGGTAGTCTGAGTCCACCCGCCATGAGCAATTGTGGTCTGCCTGAAGGGTGCGCCCTTTCTTGCGTTGGTATGATGGTGATAGACATCTTGTTTCATTTCTGGATGTTACATTTTTTCCCCATGTGTCAACCATTGTCCTATGTTGACGATTGGCAGGTCCTTCTGACTAATCCGGCCTTGATCAAAGATACGTTTCGTTGTCTGGAAAGGTTCACTCAGGCTATGGACTTGCTGCTCGACCAACGGAAGACTCACACGTGGTCGGTTTGTCGAGAGGGTCGGTTTCAGCTCCGTGAGCAGGGCTTGGACACCATCAACCAGTCTCGTGCCTTGGGCGCTCACGTCCAGTTTAGTCGCCAGCACACAAATTCTACATTGATGGCTCGGGTGCAGTGTATCACTCCCCTATGGTCTAGGCTTCGACTTTCTGCTTGTGGATATGTTCAAAAAATTCGGGCCTTAAAGAGTTCTGCATGGCCGCGATGTTTGCATGGTGTGGCTGCCACCACACTTAGCCTCGCAACGTTTTCTGCATTGCGTGCTGGTGCCCTTAAAGGCATTCGTGAAGATGCCTCTGGTGCAAATGCCATGGTTCACCTGGGTCTCCTGGAGTCTGTGGAAGTTGACCCCTACGGGTTTGCCATTATGCAGACTTTTCGCTTGACGCGTGATTGTGGAGTTCAAGCTCGGGTTGAAGGGGTTTTGGCTGCTATTGTCCAAGGAGGTTCATCAATCCCAATGAATTGCATCAGCCAAACGCTCTGCACTAGGATACAATACCTAGGATGGCATATTAACACTGTTGGTAGGTTGCATGACCTCATTGGGGAGTTCTCTCTGTTCAGCATTTCTGCGGCTGAACTTCAATACAGGGTCACCCTGCAATGGCCTCGTGTCGTTTCTGCCCAGGTTGCTCACCGACGGTGTTTTTCTGGCTTAGAGCGGTCAGACCCGCATGACACTCATGTTTGGATGAAGTCCCTTGATGTGGTGGATCAAGCCCTTTTCCGCAAACTCCTCAATGGTACACACATCACCCAGGATGGTAAGTGTCATTGCCAGGAATCCACAACCGATGAGTGCCCTTTTTGCTTGTGCAGCGACAGTAGGTACCATAGGTTTTGGGAGTGTGAGCAATTTGTTTCACTGCGAGAACATTTGAGCGCGGAAACACTGGAAACCATTCGTGATTTACCAGAGGCACTTACTTGCACCGGGTGGTCGCTTCATCCTTCAACTTGGGAAGAGTGGAACCAATACTTTGGACAATTGGTTGATGCTGCGGTACCTGATTTTTTGGCGGAAGGGGATGTGCATCTCTTCACAGATGGTAGTTGTCATGACCAACATTTGATTCAGCAACGTTTTGCGGGCTGGTCAGTTGTCCAGGCTTCCATTGATGCAGTGCATGACTTCTCAGGGAGTCGTATTTTGGATTCAGGTGTTTTGCCGGGCTTGTTGCAGAGCTCTGTAAGAGCGGAAATTTACGCTGTGTGGCGGGCTCTTCTTTTGGCTCAGTTTTGCACGGGTACGGTTTACATCTGGACTGATTGCGATGCCGTGGTGAAGCGTTTTCGTAAATTGCAGTCTGGTGGGCTTCTCCGCACGAACAGTGCCCACGCTGATCTGTGGGGTGAAATCAAACTCTGTTTGGACTCAAGACCAGGATCGACGGTTATCACTCGGGTCGCCTCGCATCAGTGCCCTGATGCGGCTTCGTCTTTCTTGGCTGAATGGTGTTTTCGACACAATGGTTTGGCTGATAAGCAAGCTGTTAGGGCTAATTTTGCAAGGGGTGATGTCTTCTGGGGTTTACACCAACGTCATGCTGTTGCCTGTGATGGGATTGCTTTCTATAATCGTGCAGTGCAGAGAGTTCTTCTTCGTATTAGCCAAGAAGTGATGCGACAGAACACTCCGGTTCTGCTTGAGCCTACTCCAGTTGCCTGTGACATGCCGGTGCCGTTTAAGCCATGGTCTCCGTTGCCGCCTTTGCAGCTACCGGCTGCTGCAATCAGATGGTATGGTGATCCACTGGTTCGGGTCATTACGAGCTGGTTCTGGCAGGTCGTAGACAGTGCAGAAGCCCTGACTTGGGTTTCCCATTTCCAGCTTTACGTTGATTTCATGCTTGCAACCGGACAGCCGGGTCCAGTTCATGCAGGCCAATGGATCAATGGAATGGACATGCCATGGGTAGGCCTTAGAGGGTTTTCCTTCAAGCAGCGAACCCGCTGGTTTACCAAGGTGCTTAAGGAGACGCTTCGACACCAGTCTGTCTCACTCCAGATGGGTTTTGGTAAGCCGGCCTCCCAGATGATTTTGTTTCACACTGGCATGATCGCCGTGCCGTTTCCATTGTATCGCTTGCACCTGATTGATGATTGGTTGCTTCGGGTTGGTGGTGGTTTCACTTTCAGACGTCAAGCCAAAGCATTGGAACGCTTACCTTTTGCGGATGTGCACCCGCTCTACCCACAGTTCGTCCTTACTTCATTAGGTCGCTAGTGCCCCAAAACCGGGTCACGTCTCATCGAACGTGGCGCGCAAATCAAACTGGGACAAACTGGTGGTTTGGAACATTTTTTATTTTTCCAAATATATTGGGAATAATCATCCCAACTGACTTTCATATTTTTCGGAGGGGTTGAAACCACCAACCAGTATCATTCTTCTACACCCTGAAGTCAGGATTCAGATTCATGATATTCATTAAACATCCCACTTTTTCAGGGCTGAGTTGATGCTGGAAGAGCGTGGGAACGAGCTGAGGGTACAAAAAGATGGGGGTCATGAGCTGAGGTAATTACTTCAGTGGCAAACATCTCCACTTACCGAATTAAAGAATGTTATAGATTGCGATAGCTGATATAACATGATCCAACCCACACATGAATCAGTGAAGTAACTACAACTGATATATATATACATAAATCACCATATGTATATATATATATATAAATAACCATATATATAAATAACCATATATATATATATATATGAACTCGTTAAAAAACTCCATGACCCATCCTTTTGGGTCGTAGCGTTGCGCTGCTGCGCTGAGTTTTGGGCTGCGCCTTCCACGAGCCTGGCGTTTGCGAGGCGGTTGCATGGGGAGATGGAGATTCCAATCATGTTGGGGATGTTATCATACATACATCATCATATAGTATATATATATATATCATATACCAAATTAATATCTATTAATTCCCATATACACATATATATCATTATATATACATGTATTGCACAATGAATGAAGATTAATGTTGTGTTCCCAGTTCATGGAGGATGATAATCCCCCAGTTTAGCAGCCACTGCTCACTGGAATATTTTTTTGATTTACTGCAAGCCACCATTTTTTGGGGGTATAGAGTCATTCAAATATAGGGATAGAATGGATAATAATACAGCACCCCATATTACTTGGAGATTGTTTCATGATCCATGCGCAATGGATACAGCTCATTTGCGTGGTTTAATTCTTGTGAATCAAGGAACATCTACGGATTGATGACGTCAAAGATCTTCATGTTGCCTATCAAATTGCAGGGTAAAGTGTGAATGACATCTGCAGTTTTTTTTTCATGAGATCGGATCCATGGCAAATCTCGGAAGCTCTTTAGGTCTCTTACCCGACTTGTCAACTTGATATTTTTTGTATCCTGACTGCCAGGTTGAATATGGACCTACGAATTATGCTTTAAATCCAGTATCTCTGGGATGAAAAAAGGCATCGGCCACCGGTTTCCCCGCTTCCAAACAGACCATCACGACCAGGATTCAGACTCTCATGACTGTCAACCCTGTCCTTGACTCTCCAATGTTGATTGAGATTTACTATACAACCATAGTGATACTCCTGGGGAACAGATTTGAATTGGGATTTCAGATGATTTAGGGAATACAAGATGGGACTTAGATAATCAACTCCCTAAGATATCACTAACAATTTTCCCAATCTTTTCGGAGTTGATTGTCCATAGATGATCTATATGTTTGCTTGCAGGATACCCTTCAACTGCTTGCTATTTCATAGACCCTCTAGTTTCAAACATGATTGGAACATCCACCATTTACTTCGGGAAACTCCCAGCCATGTTTGTGGGTACATATTTAACCATATTATACCCTCCAGTAACATGACGACCCTGGTAGATAGGGCTTGGTTCAGATTAGGAAGATTCGTTTCCTCTATAAAACTAAGCTATTTTCAGGGTCAACAAGTTAATTTACCAGAGGGTAAGCCACTTATCAGTGGGGTGTAGCTCAGTCATAGCTGGTGTTTGGCACTTATTGCCTAAGGGATGCACACGACTCGGTGAGTGGTGTCCTAAAGATCCCGCCCAGGTTAGGCCTCACGTTGGTGTCCTGGATCTTTGCTGCTATTGTACCTCGGTGCCGTTTTATTCCGTCGTGAGTTCGATGGAGACTGGTCTTGTTTTTTGGAAGCCCCAAAAAAGATGCAGAAAAGGTTCAAAGTTCAATTTATCACTTGGATTTTGCCATTTTCTGGCTTTTTGTGGGGTTACTATACCAGGGGGGAAGCCTATTCTCACATCTTAGGAACGTGAATTAAGAAGGCCTCTTTGGTGGCCACATAGAGGTGATTTCGCAGCGGTATCCCAGGCTGTTCGGATGAAAATTCTAATGATGGGTAGGCTGGAAAAGATGGTGAGAAAAGCGGGGTTGCAAACTTACTGGTGCTTAGTAGGGAATGGGGGAATGATCCACAATGACTATTAAGAATCATCATCCCATTCCCCCATTCCCCCATTCCCTACTAAATATCAGAACTCGCTGTCATCTAAGGGGTCCATCTAATCTTGAGATGCAACCACCACAATCACAAGAGGTGTGCAAGTCTACCAACGCCCTGCCTATCCTTTTGCATTCATATCTATCTTACATATATGGCATTTAGGTCAGGAATGTTACTATCATCTTCCATATTTCAGTGTATCAATTATCTATCTATCTATCTATCTACCTACCTATCTATCTATGTATCTATCTATCTATCTATCTATCTATCTATCTATCTTTTTTTTTCTCTCTCTCTCTCTCTATATATACTTTTACATGTACATGTAACACTGGTTGGTGCTTTGGAACATAATTTTTTTGACTTTCCATTAATATTGGGAATGTCATCATCCCAACTGCCCCCAACACCTTGAGCTCCACCGAGGTCGGAAGGCAGTTCGTGGTAGGACGGTTGATGATTTGTGGCTGCCCTGCCCGGTGGATGGGAATACCCGGCCTGGTAAACATAGAAAACACGGATGGGAAAATCACCATGCTATGTAGCTGGGAAAACTCACTATTTCGACTGGGCCATGGCTTCCAGTTCGCAAACTGTGAATGTCATGTTTACCAGAGGGTAGTATTTCAAACACCAACTATACTATACTACACCATTTTTTTTTGACTATCAACAGATGGGGATGTATGATTGATAAACGATGGTTGGTTGATTAGTTCGGGGATCAAGATTCATGGTGTCGGATGTGGTTTCATCCCCGAACCTACTAAACAATGGTTGAAATGGGGCTGTTGAGGGGACTTTTTACGGGGGATGGGATGAATAAAAGACATATACCAATTGATATTCCATTAAATCACCATAACCCAAATCTTAGCGGCGACATCCCCACAAATCTTGGAACATATTTATCACAGTTATATGATAAATATATGATAAATATATGATAAATATGATATGTATCACATATTTATCCCTCTATTTTTGGGGATATCCCCAGTGTTTTTTGGGTCACACCGAGTCACCCGAAAAATCAGGAGTGCTCCTGCGTCGCTGCGTGCGATTGACGTGTTTCCAGGGAGGTGCAGCGAGACATCTGGATGTGCTGGGGCAATGGGAGTTACCCTCTGGTAATTTAATATAGCTATTGAAAATGGAAAATGGCCATTTATAGTTGATTTCCCCATTAAACATGGTGATTTTCTATAGTTATGTTAGTTTACCAGAGGGTATACTGCCTGGGTTATCGGGGATTGTGATAAGCCATAGTAGGGAAACCCCCAAAAAAAAATCCAACCATGAGATGGGATAGGGAGATTCTTACAGATCTGGTAATTATAACGACTTCACGTCGCAAGCTGGAATGATGGTGAGATTGAGGGAATTATCCGCATAGCTTGCCTTAGTTTAGTGTTATTTTTCGTTTATTTACCCAGATAAATGGGAATAACCATGGTGATAACCTCCAAAAGTTGGGATATAACAACCACTACTTGTACAGTTGTTGTTGTATATCAACTTAAAACTGGAACCGCACCCCCAAGTTACCATAAAGGCGCGATTTTCTTGTAGGAAGGCAGGGTTTTTCACGTGGTTTGGCTATCCACAGGCGATTTAATTGAGATATAACCAGTACATTTGCGATAATTTGCGTTTTTGCATTGATTGCTCAGAACACCTAGGACCTCAAAGGAAGGCTATTCATCAGCAAACAGAAGAAACATATGTGGGAAAGGTGTAGCCCACAAGCAGGTGGTCATTGATAAATCCCCCCACTGTGTTGCTACGACATCTTGACATATTTCACATAGATCAGACATGTTATATACACGTCTTTGGGCAAACTGCCACACTCTGTTCTTTTTTGGATTTGTTTCAACTGAGGAAAATTCGCGGTGAACTCATGGTTACCTCTGATCTTCCATTGTATCCCCATTAAATCACCATTAGACAAAACCAGCCCTAAATCAAGTTATATCACCCCGTTCTCGCCAAGATTTCATCTGAGTTTCTCACTATCGCGCAGGTTCAGAAGGAACTTTGGTGGTTGTTTTTCTCCTTGGGAGCTGCTTCATGTTTGCCGGGATGCTCAAGTTCGATGGGTTTTCGATGGCTGGCAAGGTGATAAATCGTTGGGATTTCACAAACATGGGAAGATTCATGGATTTCATGGTATTTCATGGTATTTCATGGGAAAGTCCTTTATAAACGGAGTTTTTAAGGAACATAATCTCGAAACATATGAGATTTTCCATTGCTACGTTTGATTACCGGAGGGTATCTCTCCTTCTTTTTCTTGGGACATCAGTATGTCTGAACATGAGTTACACCCCCCAAATGGCAATCTTAAATGATGTACTAACAAAAAGCCACACATTTTTTTTGAGACGTGGGGTTTCCCAATTTTCATGGATTACTTATCACTCTTTTTGGGCTGTAAAAAAAAATGTGACATCTTGGGATGCCACAGATCATTGGATAAAGGAAAGTCATCCTACATCGTTGAATGGTTCCAGATGAAACATGATCAATGGCCGTATATCTGGATGTACAGAAACATGCTGGATTTTCCATGTTGATATATAGTTTCTATATGTTTTCCTGGAGGCTAATCATGGTTGATATAATATCCATGATATGTTATTGATTCATATCTTTTGTTGGCCATAGACTCTACATGTTTTGGCCATCGATATCATTTTAAGCTGTAATTCCCATGATATCCACCGTTTAGTGATGTGAAATATTTTGTATGAATGAATACACGGCCTGGTAAACATACAAAAAACTATGGAAAAACACAATTTTTAATGGGTAAATCCACTATTTCAATGGTCCATTTTCAATAGCTTTTTGTATGTTTACCAGAGGGTATATTGGCGGGATGATCAATGGTACTTCATCATTCTACCTATGCGACCTATGGATCCATCTATCCATGTCAGCAGGGGCTCAAGCTCCAAGTGACATTGGACAAAGGTCATTGTTGCTCAGTATTCTTCATCAGTGCCCTCTGCTAATCAAACATAGCTATGGATGTTGGCCCATTTAGTTTCATGATTTACTGTACCTCTTAAGTAGTTATGGGCCGTATAACCATTTAGTTTCATGATTTACTTATGATTTACCATTTGGTTTTCCATAAGTTATGTTCCGTTAAATTACCATGCTGTGTATTCCCCCAAAAAAATATGTGCCTGTTGCTATGCCCAGTTCCGAAGGATCATCAACGTCCAGTGCTGGGTCAAACGTTGCAACTCCATTTTGGTGGAGTTGTTTGTGGAGAAAGAACACACCATTCTGTGAGTAGTAGTTTTTTTTTGCCAAAAACATGAGTTTACATACATGGGGTTGGGTCAATACCTATTAATACCATGTTTAGTGGGATGAACATCCATAAATCCCAGCTATTTTGATGTGAACTACAGGTGTACTATTGGTTTTGACACACTGCCACATTATGATTGTATTTCTCAGAACAGAAGATAGTTGGAGATACGGGTTGAATCCTCCAACGAGGTGGGTGCCCTCATCTACAACCAGCTGGTGCCTGACGATCAACTGGACGGCACGTCCAATGATATGTTCCTCGACGGATTCCGGAGACGTTGTTCCTGATGTTCCCGGAAGGTCTACCCTCTGGTAATTTAACATAGCTATTGAAAATGGCCATTTATAGTGGATTTTCCCATTGAAAATGGTGATTTTCCATAGCTACGTTAAATTACCAGAGGGTAGATTCTATAGATAGTGCCAATGTTGCCCACTGTTGTGACATGGGCCACATTCAGCTGTAGCAAGACTCTCTCATTCTAAACTGGAGTCATGAATTATCTGGAAAAAAAAAGATCATTTGGCTGGCCAGGAAGGTGATTTTCAGCCATTTGTTTGTGATCTGTTGGGGATATCACTGACAAGTACTGGCACCAATAGACCGAAACATAACCGTTATAGAAAGGTTTTAGCCAGCAGCAAGTGGATGTTACCCTCTGGTAAACTAACATAGCTATTGAAAATTGCCATTTATACTGGATTTTCCCGTTAATAGCATGGTGATTTTCCATAGCTATGTTAGTCATTACCAGAGGGTACACGATAAAACTGACAAGCGAGATGAGGATTTTGTCAGACATCGGGAGGACACACCAGGGATGCCAGAGATCTAGCCGCTAGCCATTGACACAGTCTATTTAGCAGAGGCTCGGAGATCCCTTTCGAGCGGACATGGGGATCTTATCAATAATGTAGTAATGTAGTAATGTGGTTAAAACAATGCCATAAACCATCCCCAAGGAAAATCACCATTTTTAAAGGTGGGATGCTATAAACCATTCCCAGTCATGGGTGGTAAACATGACATTGTTTTGACCACATTAGTCTGAACTGAGACTACATTTGAGGATATTCCCAGCCCATGGCCCCAACCTTCCCATGACTCGGAGTCACAATTGTCTCAACTTTTTCAGAGCAGAAACCACTGCAACTAAAGACCCGAATGGGGGTTTCCACAAATGGGGTACCCCTAAATCATCCATTTTAATAAGATTGTCCCTTATAAACCATCCAGCGATAAAGGGGTACCCCCATTTATGGAAACCCCCACATGTACATGAGTAATTCCTGAATCAGATGTGCTTTGCCAATTGAGTGCTCTGCCAGACAAGGGTTTGTAAAAGAGATTTGGAGTGCCTTGGACTGTCCCCACCACCTTAAAAGTAATCAACAGTGAGATGCAGACCAGGAGAAAAATGCGCGCAGCGTTGGCACAAGCAGACGAAGATCTTTGCGTGTATCCGAATGAAAGTCAGCAAGGATGTTAGTTTCATGCATCCATGGCCATCCACGACAAGTCCTCCACGACATGTTATTTTGACACTGGACGTGTAGACATCGTTTTTTAGGTTGAACAGATTTACGGTTTACAGGTTTCTGCAGAGAATTTTTTATCCGTAACTTTGAATGGCTTGTGCAATCTTTCTTGCTCTGGTTATTTAACATAGCCATGGAAAATCACCATTTTATAGCTAGGTAAACCATCTATAAATGGACCATTTTCCATGGCTATGTTAGACATAACCAGAGGGTAGCATTTCCAGGAAAAATCCCAATGATTCCAGTGTGGGCTTTGGGTTCAGCATCCTGAATCCTGATGAAAAAAACAGTTCCAGTTGACTAGTCTGATCACTGTAAACATCATGACACATATACCATCAAATATTGTGACTGATATGACTAATGACTACTTGATTATCACATATTATTAAAAAAAGAGTAGTTCAACAATCACTCAGATTTGTTTATTGTTATTACTCCTGTCATTACTATTATTATCAGTTATCACTTGATTAACCATCAGTTCTTATTGTTTGATTTGATAAACTCTATATAGTCATTCTACTTTTATTATCACACCTTTCATATCTTTAACTATAAACAAAGTTTTTTTTTTTTTTAATACTCTAAATATCACGTGTATATATATATATACACATATATATATATATCACACTAACTATACATAGTTACTGTACGTTGATTCTCAGATATTTCATATATTTACCCATTAGTCAGACATCAATCTGATCAACTCCTCGAGTCAGACATCCGAAACGGGACAAGAAACGGGAGCGGGACATGCCCAGCAGCCCATGGATGGCGAAGCTGTCCTTGCAACGATGCTTGGTACCGGTGGAGGTCTAGCACCATGGAGCTTCACATGGGCTTTTTCAGAGGAAGATGGGGATAAACCTCCAATTTATAGCCACTAAGAAGAAGGGAACATGCTGATTGACCATATTTGTTTGGGTTCCTCTAAATTTCAGAGAAAGCCACAACTAGAAAGGCATCCCAAACTTGGTGTACTTTAGATTTGTGGGTGATTGCCAGTTGCCAAGATACAACGCTGGGAAGAATTGCCGAGTCCCAGATGCTTTGCTGATGAAGATAGAATCAAAAAGCCAAGAGCTATGCTCTCTCCGGCTAACGGCTAACATAGATCCTGCATGATCTTGCCATATTCTACTCTTGGGATGGGCAATTCTCAGGGTCTATAGTAGTTAGAAGGGGATATTTGAATCATCTTGACCATGGATCAATAAGTTTTTTTTTGAGGGGGTCCTAATCTTCCGAACAGATGATCATCTTTTTGGGCGAACGCCCAATTTTCCAAGGACATGGCAACTCCACATCGCATTGCCAAGTGGCCAAAGCGAGACGTTCTCTCTTCACCCTTCATCGACAGTTGTGGAACTGAGAATTCTTGCGCAGAAGGCTGGGGGTTACCCTCTGGTAAACTAATATAACTATGGAAAATCACCATTTTCAATGGGAAAATCCACTATAAATGGCCATTTTCAATAGCTATTTTGACATAACCAGAGGGTAGACTGAAACAGTCTTGGCTAGGCTTCTTCTCAGCTGTTGAGTGGTCCATAGTGGTCCTGTGGCAATGGAAAGCACAAAATCATAGAAAATCCATCTGGAATGATGGGTCAGGTATTGGGAATCATCCCCAAATAGCCTTATTTATCCTTTAATATTCAGCTATTTTTTTTTGGTTAATGAGTTATTATTATGCTTGAATAGAATCTATGTTCATAGATATGATATAGGATGCTACTCTTACTGCTACAGGATGGTAACATATGATTTTATGGTATCTACGTCCATGGCGGATTCGATATTTGGCCCCTCCACGCAACATTTTCCAGGACGCTCAGGACGGTGCATGGATAGTTGCAGCGTCTAACCGGATGATCTAACCTTTTGGAACTCCAGCTAGACCACGGCTAAGATAGGCTGGCGATTGATGTTGGGAATGCCTAGAGTATCATCAGAGTAATTACGCTACGAAAAATCACGTGGGTTTGTCTGAAAATGCTTCGTATCCCAAAATCCAAAGGTTTGTCAGGATTTTCTCCCATAAACACGCCCATTTGCGGGGTGAACAGCATTCTGGTTGGTGGTTTGGAACATTTTTTATTTTTCCATATAATTATTGGGAATGTTATCATACCATCTGACTTTCATATTTTTCAGAGGGGTTGAAACCACCAACCAGTCATTTTTAGACACTACCAGCATCCATTCAAAATCACAGACTACAAAGTTTTTCGCAGCCTACCTTGGACGCACAGCACCAAGCATAGATGTATAATGATGTATAAACAGACACACATATACCTAAGTGTAACATGTATAGATTACGCGTATCTGTATATACATACATATATCATATATAATTACAAATCATATGTATATATCTATATATGGTATATATAATATTGCAAATATTTGTATTTGTATGCATGCAACATATCCATAGTGGAGAATTGCCATCAACGCATTGGGGACTTTGATGAGAAAATATCTTTGGATTCTCAAGGCATGGGATTCCATAGCGCTTTTTTTTTTAAATCTTATCCCAATGCTTGGTGACATATGCCACACAGCAAATCTCCATGAAAGATCCAGGAGTAACTTGACTTGTTCCACATGTTTCAGTACGCATGACGGCCTTACCCCCAGGCATTCAGGCAAGGTTTGCTACGACTGGTGACATCCGATGGATGTGTCTTGGATCCTCGAGCGTCACTGCTTGAAGCAGGACCTTGCGCATGGGTGGTGGGAAGGCGGGAAGCTGAGGAGGTGTCAACAGTACCGGAGATGTAACGGTATGATACTTTGTCAATTTAACCAAACCATATAAATGGCAATGTTTGTGTTGGTTTGACCACCTTTAACCAACCAACATATTTTTTTTTGAGACAATCCCAATATGGTGAAATCCCTGTGATACTGAACAAACTCACTTGGGAAAAAATTGGAGTCGCCCAATATATCCAGCTCCAGTCCTTTGATCATCACCACTTGAGGGATCTGGGATCCCAAGAATTTAACATCTAGGGTACCCCGATTTTGACCCCATCCTATAGGGAGCCAACTTGGTTTTTAACTGAATTTTCACGTTTGGGTTTATGGCTATGAAATAACTATAGTTTATATTAAGCTATAGTATTCACGGGTTTATAAACCAACCAACATCACTTGGGGGGCTCCCCTTGCATGTATTGAAGACTTGCCGCTGTGAGCAGTAAGGTGGCCCGGGCCCTCACCATGTGGGAGATGGGATCGCTAACAAAAACAGCCCGGGCTGTGCTTTGGTGGTCTGCATTTTTTTGCGACTGTTTTCAGTCACTGTTTTGGGAATGATCAATTTCAGTTGCATGATATTTTCGGAAGGGTAGACCACCCATGAGTCTTTTACAGAATGGCAATATTCCACATTAAGTTCCATAGAAATTTGCAGCTGCTGCCATCAGCAGGACTTCATGATGGAGGATGCCTCACAGCTATTGCCGGACAAGCGCGGGTGGCTACAACAACCTCCGCCTTTGCCTTCTGGTGCACTGGTGGCACTGGAGTGGTCACATGGGGCAATCCCATGTGTGGTGGTGACAACTGCCGAGTACAAGATCAATTGAACAACGTCCAGCAAGTCTCAGCCACCTTCAGTGCATTTGCTGCTGTCTTGGCAGATGGGACGGTGGTGACCTGGGGCGATGCGAGCCGCGGTGGTGACAGCACCCAAGTTGCAGATCAGCTGAGGAATGTGTGGCAGATCCATGGGTCCCATGGGGCATTTGCTGCGATTCTGCAAGATGGCACGGTTGTACCTTGGTGAAAACTGCGCCTGGGTTGCCTCAATCAATGGCCATGCAACAGGAACCGATTGATTGGAGGTACCTACTGTATATAAGGCCTATTTTTGAGGCCTATGTAAGGGAATATCCCAGCAAAATATGGCCTTATATGGTACAGTACCTCCATTTTAGGATCCTGAATTTCCCATTGACTCAACCTGGTTGAGGCTCTACAACATCCTCCTACAAGCAGAAATTCAACAAAAGAACATGTTGGTACACACTATGTATCTATTGTGCAGGTAACTTATTTTGAGTAAATGTCACCCATGCTGAACTGATTGGAATACTGTCCATCATCTTCCCCCAATTTTCCTCACCGAGCTCGGCTCTTGCACCATTTGTTGTGGCTTAAATTCCATATATGTTCTTTAAATCACATGAAATGCGCATTTTCCAAATCTGAATCACAGTTTTCTTCCATCAAATTCCAATTTTCTCTCATTTTCCAACCGAAAATCAGTCTTAAATCCAATTTTTCTCACCCTCATATCCAATCTTTACCACTCTAAATCCCTCTTTTTTCCCAAACAATCACCATTTCTCCGCCAAAAATTCCAGTCCAACATTTTCCAAGCCACAGAATTCCCAGTTTGCGCAGGTATCCTGGGGCCATCCGCAGTATGGTGGTGACAGCAGCCTCCTACAGCCGCAGCTCTGCCAAGTTCGTCAGATCACCGGCACTGCTGGTGCCTTTGCAGCGTTGGGCCATGGTGGGCTACGCACCTGGGGCGATGCGGCGTGGGGGGGCGATAGCAGCATGGTGCAGGACCGGGGGTGGAAGTGTTGAAGCTGTTTTTGGACATGTGTCTCCATTATATCCCGTTGCATCCCATATATAGTATATATATATACACATACTGTATATATATATATGTATTATATATATAATTATATACACATACTATATATATATACACATGTACACATACATCCCCAGTATATCCCATAAAATGACGGGTGTTACCCTCTGGTAAACTACTTGTAACATAGCTATGGAAAATCACCATCTTTAATAGGTAAATCAACTACCAGTAGTACCCGCACGAGGCGGGGTGGAAGTTGCCTTAGGGTTATACTATAAGACCTTTTTCATCTAAGGCCCGTGCGTGCTTTGTGCGAACCTGTTGCACGACTGTTGTCCAAGAACATGACCTGTGCGCGACCCCGGTGCAATGCAACGCCAAGCAAACACTTTCTTCACACTTCACACTTCACACTGCACTCTTCACACCTCGCACTTCGCACTTCACACTTGTACTTCACACTCCACACTCATCTCATCGCAAAAACATGTGAGCTCTTCTCACCTCATCTCACCTCATCTCATCTCATTCCATCTCTTCTCACATGTCATCTAGACAAGTTCTTCTCAACTGTTTTCATCTCATCCGAGCACTCATCGACCTTTCTCATCTCCCCAAAGTTTTTCTCAACTCATCTCAGCTGTTCTGCACGCCAGAAAGCTCTTACTGTCAGCGAGAAGTCTCTTGCACAAAAAACAATTGGGCGCAGAAAGCTTTTGCACACAGAGCTCGAGGCACAGATGCATTTACACAGAAGCCTTTACAAAATACTTTGTGCTACAAAGCTTGCACACAGCACTTCCCAGCTCTACTTTTGTACCGCAAAGCTTGCACAAAGCACTTCCCTGTACTACTTTGTACTACAAAGCTTGCACAGAGCATGTCCCAGTATTACTTTGTACCACAAATGTTGCACAGAGCACTTCCCAGTACTTCTTTGTACTACCAATCTTGCGCAAAGTACTTCCAAGCATTGCTTTGTACTACAAAGCTTGCACAAAGCACGTCCCAGTACTACTTTATACTGCAAAGCTTGCACAAAGTACGTCCCAGTACTACTTTGTACTATCAAGTTTGCACAAAATACTTCCCAGTACTACTTTGTACTACAAAGTTTGCACAAAGTACTTACCAGTACTACTTTGTACTACAAAGTTTGCACAAAATACTTCCTAGTACTACTTTGTACTAGCAAGCTTGCACACAACACTTCCCAAAACGCATCAAGCTTTGACGCACAGCAAGCTTTTACGCAGAAAAGCTTTTACACAAAGAAAGCTTTTACACACAGAAAGCTTTACACACAGCAAGCTTTTACACAAAGAAGTGCTTACGCAGAGAAGCTTTCTTGTACACAATGACAACGCAAATTGCAGCTCCAAAACCGGATCTCGGTGCCAAAGCAAAAAAGAAACAAACACGATTTTGAAGCACTTTTTTAAAGGAATTTTAAAAAGAAAATCACCAGCGCCAAAATGACGAAAATCTGCGGACAGGCACTATCGCAGCCTTGATGCAGCCACCCCAATACGATCTACGGTGTCCAGCTGCAAAATAGACAATAGTATTCCGCATGCAGCCGCGCCGATTGACGATGTCCAGCTGCAAAAGACACTAGTATTTCCTCCCCAACCCAAGTCCCATGCAACATTCATGCAGCCATTACAATGCGTTTTGCGGCAGCATGTGCACATTCATGCAGCCATTGCCATGCGATTTGCATCCACGCGTTGCAGAACACCAAGGAGGAACCGATTACGCTCGGCACGACCCCGGCTGCAACCGCTGCACGCACAAGGTACCCTTCATCGCCGGCCGCAGCCACTTTAAACGGAAAAACACATGGTTTCGTGCTCCGGCTTCCTCCCCAACCAAGTCCCATGCAACATTCATGCAGCCACTACAATGCATTTTGCAGCAGCACGTGCACATTCATGCAGCCATTACAATGCGATTTGCATCCGCACGTTGCAGAACACCAAGGAGGAACCGATTCCGCTGGGAACGACCTCAGCCGCAACCGCCGCACACACAAGGTACCCTTCATCGCCGCCTGCAGCCACTTTACACGGAAAAACACAAGGTTTCGTGCTCCGGCTTCCTCCCAAAACCAACCCCATGCAACAGTCATGCAGCCATTACACTGCGACTTGTATTGTTTTGCGCTGTATATGTGATGTGTTGTTGTGGGATGTATTGTTATGTGATGTGTTGTTATGCGATGTATCGTTATGCGATGTATTGTTTTGCGATGTATTGTTTTGTGATGTATTGTTATGTGATGTTTTGTTGTGTGATGTATTGTTATGTGATGTATTGTTATGTGGTGTATTGTTGTGTGATGTATTGTTATGTGATATATTGTTATTATGTGTTGTGTTGTTTAGTGATGTATTGTTATGTGATATATTGTTATTATGTGTTGTGTTGTTTTGTGATGTATTGTTTTGTGATGTATTGTTCAGTGTTTTTTTGTTGTGTGATGTATTGTTATGTGGTGTATTGTTATGTGATGTATGGTTTTGTGATGTATTGTTATGTGATGTATTGTTACTGCGTTACACTTCATCCGTAACTCGGAAGATTGCTTCCCAACTTCCTTTGATAAATGGGCCATTTTCAATAGCTATGTTAAATTACCAGAGGGTATACACCCACTTCTTTTAACCCTACCATTTTCAGTCTGAAGATATTGTCAGGACCAGCTTACAAATGTGCAGCAGGTTTTCGCCACGAACCGAGCCTTTGCTGCGTTGAAAGCAGATGGAAGAATCGTGACCTGGGGTCATCCTGGATATGGTGGAGATAGCTCCAAGGTACACGATCAGTTGCCAGATTTGAAGTGGGTGGTGATGGAATATGGATGGGTATGATGTCGGATAATGTAATATCACCGCAATAAATACTATGCAATTGTAGGATATTGATGGAATGTGAATAAAATACTGATGGAAAATAAACTATGATCCATACCCGATTGCATGGTCCCATATTTCACCCCCGCTAAACTATGGCGGTTTTGGGGTGTGTTTAGTACTACAGTAAGGGAAGGGGGACTGGATTGTATATGGGACAATCATCGAACTACACATTTGGGATCATAGATGTACTTTTCCCATTGGTTGGTTGATTACTGGAGGGGGTTGTTTACCCCTTTAACAACACGTACATGATGATAGATGGTATACCAAACCGGCCCCTCTATTTTTACCAAAAGGACATTATTGTCTGGGATTTTCCAGCTGAAATTCCTGAAAATGGGATGACCGTTCCAGACTTTGAGAGTTTTGGGGATGGTTTAACAGCACCAACCTTTATTGTTCCTGTTGACCGTACTTTCTTTTCCCAATCTTTCTAACTTTAGAGAACAACCGCGTTGGAAAAATAGTTGTGGGGTGCCGAAGCTGGGAAATGTGACTTTCTTGTCAATTTGGGAAAACAACATTGGAAATATGTATGTTATATGTATGTTATATGTATGTTGTATGTATGTAATGTAATGCAATGTAATGTAATGTGATGTGATGTGATGTGATGTGATGTATGTGTATATAATATATATATAGCAGATATATCTATAATTATAAACTGGTTTACAATGCCATTCATTGTTTTGTTTTATATCATGATATATCATATAGGATATACAACCCCATTGCGTTTTACACCTCTTTCTTTCTGGGTCATAGTCTTACATTTTCTATGCGAAACACAGAAGTTTGATGCCCGGAATCACGGTCGCTGATTTCTGACTACAGTTGCAACATTCTTGCGGGAAAAAGGAAGTCCTACGATTTACTGCTGTACTGGTAGGGACGAGGAACAAAAACCAATGCCACCCACCAAAATCTTCCGGATTACCAGCTGTCTGGGTGAATTATAACGAGGTCGCTACAACCTGAACTATCCCTGAAATGGCTCAAACTATTTCAGGGTGAATAATAACACCAATGTCACTCAGCCAGATCAATGGTTTTTCCCCAACGGGACATCGGTTGAGGCTCCATGATGTGGTGAAGGTGGTTGCCACTCGTCATACCTACGGCGCTGCCTTTGCCGCGCTTCGAAGCACTGGATCGGTGGTGACGTGGGGCCACAGCCTCTATGGAGGCGACAGTAGTCTGGTGCAGCATCGCTTGAGGACAGGTGGTGGCCATCAGTTTGTATCATTTTTTTCTGACAAAATCTGAGAAAACAAATTCTTTTTGGACCTTAGCTGGATTTTGTTAAGTCAGCAAATTCCATTTGGACCTTCGGGGGCGTGGATTGCAGCTCAGCAAGTTTCTTTGATTTCCTATGGGTTTTTGGAACTTGCATCTCAACTCAGACACATGAAACATATGTCGGACTAAAATATCATCAAGGTTCGCTTTGCATCTTCAAGCCACTGATGACCAGCGATGTGATTCACAGCAGGAACGTGCGGCATATTTCTGCCACCCTCAGCGCGTTTGCTGCTGTGGGAGAAGATGGACGTGTCACTACATGGGGCGATGCATTCCTGGGTGGTGACAGCACTGGAGTTCAAGATCAGCTTGTTGGTGTCAGAGAAATTTCTGCCACCAGTGGAGCGTTTGCTGCGATGGCTGATGGACATATTGTGACGTGGCATGAGATGTATTGTTGTTTATCATGTAACAGATCCGGGGACTTTTTATCATAAATCATAAGACTCTGAATTACTTATTGTTGACAGGGTGCTTGAACCATTTCTCCTGCATAACTCCAGTTTCTTCATCGGAAGACTGAGTCTAAACTTGCTTGATTTCGGCTTCCTGGTCAACCGTCGAGGGGACAAGGCTTTATGCATTGTGAGATCTGTTTTCAGACATAATTTATCAATGATAGCATGATTTCTCTTGCGGTACTAGTCCCACCTTTCAGCAGAAAAGGCATTTTTGTTTGATTCCGTTTAGATTCCAATGATCATCTGGTTGGTGCTTTGGAACATGAATTTTATTTTCCATTTCATATATGGGATGTCATCCTTCCCATTGACGAAGTCATATTTTTCAAGATGGTTATTGCACCACCAACCAGATTATAACAATACTATTCAATATCATAATGATGATTTTCCATTATAATCCATTATAACAATACTAATCCAATGGAAAATCCATTTATAATGCTATTAATTATAACCATGGTTTAATGGATTTTAATACCATTATCATGGATTGTAAAAACCATAAATACGAACCATTACCCTCTGGTAAACTCACATAGCTATTGAACATGGCCATAGAAATAGTGGATTTACCCATTAATAGCATGGTGATTTTCCAGTTCGCAACACGTAAACGTTTACCAGAGGGTATACCATCATATATCCTAATAAATCCCATTAAATCCCATAAGATCCCATAAAAAACCATTAAATCACTATAAAAATGGATGATTTGGCTACCCCAACTGCTGGAGATCTTCCTCTGAGGTCACCTGGGGTGATGCATCGCTGGGTGGCGACAGCAGCCATGTCGCGACAGCTGGGCCGGGGCTGCGAGAAGTTTTTGAAGTGCACGCGACGGATGCGCGGTGGCAAAAACCATGGGTTTTTTTTTGACCCACCAATTTTTGGAGAGGTGGAAAACCATGGATAAGGTTTGTCTAGAGGTGGACATTTATCCTAAATCTGTGGTCAGTTCAATAGTAAAACTGGTTGGTGGTTTCAAACATGAGTTTTATTGTCCATTTCATATATGGGATGTCATCCTTCCCATTGACGAAGTCATATATTTCAAGATGGTTAAAATCACCAACCAGTTACTGAAGTACACCATTTGTCGACCACGAGTTCACAACTACTGTTTCAGTGTGGAGTGAGTTCAGTTGGAATCTGTTGGGAAAAAAACACACCGGACTCAAAAGAAAGATGGATGTTGTTTCTTTTCTGTAAGGGGTGGTGCCTTGAATATCCTTGAATGCCAGACATCATTAAGCAGAGACACCTGGGGTTAGTGTACCAGCCCTAGTTGCCGTGGGACATTACCCAAAGATGCTTACCCTCTGGTAATGACTAACATAGCTATTGAAAATCACCATTCTATTAATGGGAAAACTCACTATTTCAATGGCCATTTTCAATAGCAGACTGTTAGTTTACCAGAGGGTATACCATCATTAATCCCATGAAATCCCATTCAATCCCATTAAATCACCATTGAATCACCATTGAACCACCATTTTTCATTTTGCTTTGGGATCTACCTATCCAATTTCATGCGTAGCTTCTACGTAGGGTGGCCTGACAGCCCAGGATGGGGCATTCGCTGCGATCCTTTCAGATGGAAGCGTGGTGACATGGGGCCATTTGAAGCTAGGATTGAAGATGGCCATGTCCATTTTCCATCCCTTTTCATCATTTTCTGAAAATGGGGCCGTTTGAAGATGTTCATCATTTTCTTCTCTTTGGAGATGTTCATGCAAATCTCATGAAATGTCCATAGAAAGGAGGTTCCCGAAAAAAACAAACGGGCCCAGAAGCCCATCATGCTTGGTCTAGTATTGGCTCCATCATGCTCTATCCCATAAATATGGGCCCCACGTTGTGTGCGCATCTTCATACGGGCTTGGAAATAGAGGATTCAACTCCAAAAACTGGCCATGAGAAAATGGTGATGAACCATAGAATGGGGTACCCTGTTGTCAGACAAAACCATAGAAATGAAGATTTGCATTGTGCATGTGACAAAAATCCTGAGCCAGCTTTCGCCACTGTGAATTTTGAAAGGCAAAGGCACATTCCAAAACCTGCAGAAATCACACACTTACAGCTCTGAATCGAATCCTCTGGACCATGAATTTCACATAAGATACAGATAAAAAGTGAAGCCCCGCTCCTGGGTTGTCGAAATTCTATGAATTTGGTGTGTTCCATTTCAATGCAAGTCATCCGTTTCTTGGGGTAACCCATAATCAATTTCTCAACTGGGATTGATTCTTCTGGCTTTGATAGACAATCCTTACCCTCTGGTAAACGTTAACATAACTATGGAAAATCACCATTTTTAATGGGTAAATCAACTATTTCTATGGCCATTTTCAATAGCTACGTTAAATTACCAGAGGGTAGAGAAATTTCAAAGGCAGTTTTCAATTTTCCCCTTGCGCATCCATCTATCCACATCAAGACTCCTCCGAGGAATTACGGCGGGAACAGCGCCAGGGTGCAAGATCAGCTGCGAAAAGTGTAGCTGCATGAACCCCCAGTGCTGGAACACTGCCTTCGTGTACAGAGCTGCCCGAATTTTTGTAGGGCTTTTGAAGTACTGATCTTGTAATGTGGTAGAGCCAAACTATGCTAAAACATGCTAAAACCATGCTAAATAACCAAAAATTGGGTGGGTTCCAATGGTTTTTCAATTGGAGGTTGATTATTGGGTCTATCACATTATTGGGTCTATCGCCATGGGATGGGTAGAGCATTTTGGATACTTCTTTTGCATTCAATCTGCAGTAAGCGTGGCCACTGATTCTCAATGTCTTCCAGACTTGGTTTGATCACCAACCAGTCCGACTGTCCGGAATTTTAAAGCTGGCCATGATTCGAGGGTCCATCACCACCAGCAGAAGCAAGGTGTTTCAAACAGAGTTCTGCAGGTTTTTTTTCCTGGAGAAGATGGGATGATCACAGAAACCAGGGATTTTGATACGGGTCCGTTCAGTCATGGGGGTACCAGATCATCCTTACAAAAAAAGACCGTTATAGTATGTTTTAGCCCATGGTGACTTGGGAGTCCCCAATTTTTTTGAAATCTCCATATATTTGCAACCAGCAAAAGTGGCTATGTGAGTAGAAAGGGACCGAGCGGTGGTCTCCAGATTCACTGCACTGTCGCCGGTCTACATTGTTCATCCCCATTTATGATGTTGTACTGTTGTACCTATCTATATATATAATATAATATATATATATGATCCCGTCTTCCGACCGCGAGGCCCCCCCCCAATGGTATGGGTCCCCAGGTGGCACCCCCCCTGCCCTTCTATTTGCACGCTATTGGCAGCATTTCTGACTACCAGCCTCGCATTTACTAGGTACATGCTACCTTTTAGACGACCTACATAGCACACATGCTCCCTTAAAGTACCTACGTGCTACCTATAGTCATATATACATGTGTTATGTATCTACTTCCTATATATATATATTTACATGTTATAGATACATACATATATATATATATACACATTCGTATTAAAATATACATACATATATACACATACATACATATACATATATATATACACATACATATATTCACATATATATATATACATAAATAAATCAATAAATAACTAAATAACTAACTAAATAAATAAATATATGTATATATATATATGTATATATATATGTACACATACATATACACATACATATATATATATACATGTACACATACATATACTATATATATATATATGTATATATAAATACACATACATATACACATACATATACACATACATCTTTACATATATTTACATATATTTACATATATTTACATATATTTACATATATTTACATATATTTACATATATATTTACATATATATATATTTACATACATATATATATATATTTACATCTATATTTACATATATATATGTATATATTTACATCTATATTTACATCTATATTTACATATATATTTACATATATATTTACATATACATTTACATCTATGTTTACATATATATTTACATATATATATATTTACATCTATATTTACTTACATCTATATTTACACACATATATATATATATATTTACATATATATTTACATATATATTTACATATATATTTACATATATATTTACATATATTTACATATATATATATTTGCATATATATTTACATATATATATATTTACATATATTTACATCTATATTTACATCTATATTTACATCTATATTTACATCTATATTTATATCTATATTGACATATATGTTTACACATATATTTACATATATATGTAAATATATATTTACATGCGAATGGGATGTAGGCTACGGCATGGTACATATTCCCACATAAACGTCCTGTAATCGTCCATGACCAAAGGGATGCATGAAATGCCCCTTTGGCTCAAGATGCTGCTAGCTCCACATGAAAAGGATGCAATGCCGAAACCGCCGTTCGTTCGTCATCACTGGTGAGGGAAATCAACAACCTTCTATAACTGCCAAGAACATATAATCGGGGAGATAACCTCCGATTCACAGGTTATCAGCCGTAGGACTCCTACGGAGCCTACGAGCGGGTAGCCGCGGGCCTTACAGATGACTGAACAGGATAGCAGTGATAACGCATTTTCTTTCTCTGGACATGCCGTTGCACCAGCTGCCGGCACGCAGTCAAATTCTTCACAGAGTATCGACACTGGTGGAAGCGATGCCTCAGAACTGAGAACGAGCCTACCCAGGCGACCTCTGGTTGCTCCTAGAGGGAGACAAATTTCGACAATGCAAGCAATTGAAGATAGGGACAGCACACCTGGAAAGAGAAGATCATCTGCACGACAATTGTCGCCTCCGATGACTCCAAGGACTAAGGCAAAGACTACGTCGTCGAATCCGCCTTCACCGATTCAGGATGCTACTCCATCAGGGACAGGATCTTATCAACAAGTGAACGCCCCATCAAGTGGTAGCGACATCTTCACTGCCTATCAGAGCGAATTAGCTGAATACAAAACATCACTGGAAAAGGCTACTGAAGAAGAATCGGTACTTCAGGCAAGATTGACTGAGACGACAGCATATGCCTATCAACAATTTAATTTCCTGGAAAGCACCACCCATCAAGAGATGATGTCGATGACCGAACAACTCCAGATGCTGAACTTCGAGTTACAGGCTGCACAACAAGAGGATGAAGGTGCAACCTACAGGATCGAAGAGTTGGAGAGGTATCAGACTATGTCGAATGAAGCTGCATCTCATTTGGAATTTAAATATTCACGACTACGTTCGGAATTCGATGAACAAATGGGACAAGCGAACGCAATCATGGTGCATGTGGGCGCTGATGCGAATGCTCACATCAATCAACTCAGACTGGAACTGGAAAACGCAGAGATGAATGCCAAGCAAGAAGCTCTGGCGGTCGGCTACGCTAACGACCAGACATGTGCTTTACAGATCGAGATGCTCGAGGTTGCTAATCAGAACCAGACGATGAAGCACACCATGGCCATGAACGTTAGACGACTGGAAACTGAGCTCGATGCTGCTGACATGAAGAGGGACGAGATAATGAAGGAGTTCCGTAGTAACATAAGATCTGAACATGACCGTTATGCAGAATGTGAACATCACTTAGCTTTGGAAGAATCACAACTTCGATTGCAGGTGATTCACAATGAGAACTTACAATCTCGACTAGCGACTTCTGAGAGCAAGGCTTCTGAGGAATCTCTAGCTGAATCAAGTGGCATGCGGGACATGAGGATAATGGGACTACGTTCGGAACTACACATGAAACAAAGTCTTTTAGATCGAATGCAACAACAACTGACTGAATCGAAGAATCAGTATCATGAACTTTCCTGTCAACAAGCCAGAAGATCCTCGCCAAGCAGATCACCTCATGGAGGAGCACTATATGAGATGTATATGCAAGGCGTGCGTGAGCGTGACAACTTAAAGGAATCCAAGGCTGAAGTTGACAAGTTGTACTTGCAAAACAGAACTGAACTCATTGACACCGAGAACCTGCTCAAAACCTTCCAGCAACATTTCGATGAAACTGGTAAGAAGTATCAAGATGCTCTGAACAAGATCGATCACATGAGTAACAATCCGAATGTGACGAGTAACTTGTTCGACAGTTTGCACAATGAAATCAATGACAGGGACACAGCTATCGCTCGCCTTCATACTGAACTTGAAGCCCAAAAGGATTCTCTTGAGCGTGCTCACAGGGATGCAGGTAAGTCCATCAAGATGTTGAACGACAGAAGACTCGTGATCAAAGGTGCGACTGACTATTCCATTCCTGAAAGCCATTTGACCGAGATGCATCAATTGGTCAATGAGCGTTACGCTGAGGTAGAAGAAATGTCGAGCACCATTGCTGCCCTGAAGTTGGAAAACCAAGCTCATTCTTCTTCATCAATGAATAGACCGACTACATTACATGGGTACCCCAGTAATGCTATGCCTCGGAATGAATGTGAAGAGAAGTGTGCTAAACTGAAAGCAGAGTTGGACGAGATGAAGCAAGAGAAGAACAATGAAGTTCGAAATCTTCAAGATGAGTTGAAGAAGATGGAAGATCGGAAAGATTACTACAAGAACAATTTCTCTCAAGCTGAAGATCGTGCCAATGATGAAGAGCAGGAATACCGAGCAGAAGCTGAAGCCTTCGAGAAGCTCAGGAACGAGTACGACACCAATGTCAGGGAGTTGGAGAACCTTGAAAGGGATAGATCCAAGTCATCCGTATCTCTAAGAGAAGCCGAAAGATCAGCCTCCAACCCTGGCCTAAGACCACTGAACTTTCATCCTGGAAGGGAAGTGTCGTTCATGAAGTTTGCGTTGCAAGTGGAGATCGAAACTATGAAGATTGGAAAGCGTGGCTAGCTCCGTGTCTTGCAGATCAACCTGACTTAGAAGCTCTGGCCAAAGCACCCGATGTGAGATTCCAATCCATTGATGCCAAGCTCTCCAATGCCTTGAGGAAAGTCATTGACAATGCTGGGGACAAGTCCATGCAAGTGAAATATGACATGTCCATGAAGAACCAAATGTATGGGAGGAGTGGGGATTTCATCAAGGGGCGAGAACTATTCGCAATGGTCTTGATTAGCTTCAAGTCGCCTGACCACACTGAGGTTCTCTACAACGCCCATCATTTGTACATGTTCAATTACTATGGAGATGACCAACTTGAGGCCTTCTACAACAAGTGGCTTGACATCATATACAACATGAAACATGATGATCTGCCTTCTGAAAATTCCCTGCGTGACACATTGTTCCGGAAGATTGAACATTCAAAGCTTATGGCTTTTGATATCAACCGATACAAAACCTATGATGAAGGGCATCCTGAGAAGACCTATGCTTCCCTAACTGGCATGATCAAAGGATACATAGCAAGAGGAAAGCAAGAACGACTGTTGAAAGATAGAGAACGTGCAGTGAAACTGTCATTGTCCTCTAACAAGACGACACCTGCCCTGGAAGA